AAGTGACTTCTAGTATACATTTTCGATTATTTTGAGGTTTTCCTCGGTCAAAAACAAATCGACTATAAAATGGTGCCTTGGGAAGAAATGGGTTAAGGAATTGAGCCCGCGAGCGAGAGCATACCAGCTAACGCCCCAGCAGAGTATCTTCGAAAGCGGCCTTTGTCCACCAGCCATGCCATATCTGAGGAGATCACCAGCCGGCAGAAAGACGATCAACGTGCCAGCCCAGCGGAGTTCGCCAATTAACAGGTCATACTCTCTCCTCTCGTTTCTCTTCCTTAATCGGTTACAACCCTTTTTGGCTATTCGCGACTTGTGCGCTGTGCCAGGCTCTTGCAGGCCGGCACAGCTGAATTAGTGGTTAAGTTTTCTTTCTTTATTGTGTATCGAGTCGGTTGTGAGATGGCAAAGCGCTCACGTGCCGGTCATCTCATTTAGTGGTAAGAAGTTATTGTGTATTAGGTTAAGGTTTGATAGATTATTTTGTTCGGCATCGCTCGATGTAGCGATTTTATAATAAACGTATTTGGTTGGTAAAAGATGAGAATATTTATTGCGATAGCCTTTCCTTTTCTGCCTTGCTGGAAGCGATACACCACCTCCCTTACCTCCCCTTTAAAGGATTTGGCGATAGCGGAAAAGGATTATCGGCCAAGGACGGCCGACGCTATTACAATTTATCTAGTTATTGTTGTTTTTTACCTTCTATTTGAAAACCTACACCCTGATAATCGTTCAGAAATTTTATGCATTCCAATAATGTTGGTTCTCTACTGGTTATAATATTTGCATCTACTTTTCCTATGCAGTTTTTTAGAACTATTAGTGCTTCCGCGTTTCGTTTGCCTCTCGTATCAGCCATCGTAGCCATATCGATTTCGGAAAGAGAGAGAAAAAAATTTTGCCGAACCCTGCTTTTGTTAATAATAAAAAACCCGGAGGGGTCCCCAACTGTTACGTCTTACGCAACGGCCGCGGATTGAGAATAGTTACTCAATCGCGACTGTCTCTTTTCGGTCAACACGTAAGCGCTTTACCATGGGTACGAGACTAAGCAAGAGCAGGCTGGCAATCACACCAATACACCGACTAGAAAAAGTAACGGTTAATAAAAATAGATTTACCTGAAATTTGACTCGTCCTATAACTCGTACTGGATTATCCAGGGATAGATTGTAGCTATATTGAGTAAGCGTAAGACCTTTTCTAATTTATAATAAATGACAAATGGTATTTTATTTTAAATATTTATTAATCAGAACAAACGATACAGAGACTTCCGGAGTCTTTCGGAGTAAAATACTAAGTTCCTCTAACAGTCGTTCTCGTACCTTTTTTATAAGGCAAAACACATGAAACTAGCCCATAAAGGGTTACACCCATAAGGGGAGCACGCGTCACCAAGAATAAGTGTAATGGCTCTATCTATGAGCTATTTTCTTATTTTCACTGAATTAGTGCAACCCGCTAAACTCACCAATCTAATTACATCAATTAGCATATTAAACGGGACTACATCATATATTATATAATTGTTTTAGTACTAGAGTCAAATTTTATGACCATATAAGGAGCGTGACATCACCTACTTATAGATATAGATGTGATAGTTTTTGTTGTTTTATTAAAATATGTTAATTAAGAGTAATTTCGATGAAACAAAGCATTTTTTATATAGAATTTAGGGCATAGATTTAGATTATAATAATTTTAATTGACAACTTTATAATTCATTGATCTTAACTAACTAATCTAGTATTTACATTATAAGATTTTATAAAAAATCTTTACAAATATGAAAATTGATTATGATTCAAATGTTATTAACTGATTTAACTATTTCTTTTTAGCAATTACTTCTACTAGTGATAAACTATTAATATATGTAAAATTTTATCCTTGTTTTATTGTAAATATTGCGTTATCACATTAATTAACTTTATTAGTTAATAACATTTGACGATACTTTTTGCGATAATTGTAAATTATACTAAAATGATCTATATTTACTTCTGTAAAGTTTACATGTTTTAAAATTCCATTGTTACTGTTTATTCTCTTGTAAATTTGAAAAAATGATTTGGTACAATTGTGTAAACAACTTGAAGACCAATGTCATGAATTCAAACCTGCGACGAAAAATGAGGGGTCCCATTTAAAAAGTAGGATTGACATCGAAATGATTTTGGGGTGGGGTGACCCCTTTGGACTCCACACGTATTACATGATTTGTACGTAAAATTGCCCGCTCTATCCGAATCCGGGATATAAAATTGGGGTTTTTATTTAAAAATACAAAGTTAACCTTCAAATAACCTTGAAAATCATTCTCAAGGTGAACACTGAACAGAAAAGTGGGTGACCCCCATTGTTCTAAACAACTTTTGCATGAACAAGTTTTTCGTACAACGTGAACTTTTCGAGATATTCAGGTCCGTCATTTAAAATGGGACACCCTGTATATACAATGTTAATTTGCTTCTCCAAGTCCTTGAATCTCATTTTAGTTTGGTCACACTCAAACAAAGATATTTCAAGATGAATTAAATTACCAATATTTTAGTAAATCTAATATTCATAAATATGTGGTTACCTTCCGACTGCAATAACTACATTTTTTTCTAATAAAATACGTTGATTTGACAAATTTTTATGTTTTTTCTGATTGCAATCGTTTCTATTTTTCATTTTCATTGTCTTTCTATTCTATTAAATATATCTATTTTCAAACGATATATTGCTTTGGTTGTTGATCACGTAATAAAATCTGAAAATAATTAGTAACTATCACATTAAAGCAACATACCTGTTTAAAATGTACGCGGGTATTTGCGTGTGTATGTATGTCTGATTCCTCAAAAAAATGGAATAAAAAAGGCCTACCCTAAAAAACGCATGTGACATCATTTTTTCGTTAGTTGTAGTTGAAAAAAATATAAAATTTTACATTGAAAAAATACAAAGAACTACTGCTCATAATTTCATAACTCAGAATTCTGAGATGTACAGGAGATTACAGAGGCAGCAAATTAAAAGTCAGAATATCAACATTTGTTTACATGTTGTGTGGTTCTAAATCATTACGTTACATAAATAATATTCGTATAATACATTTTTTAAAAAAGGAAAATTAAATTTTTAAATCTTATTTTCAAAAACTATTCAAAAACTACACGAAATCTCGATACTTTTTTGGAAACCTCTTAGTATATGAATTAAGTCAATTTTTATACATATTGTAAAATTATAAAATTATGGAATCACGTTTATAGAAAAATTTCAAACGATTTTGGTATTTGAAGGCTGTAGAGTGATCTTATTAAATTTAAGATACCAATACATTAGTTTTATGGATGTCAAACCCTAATTGTTATTTAGATTTTATAATCGATAAACAACAGCCTGAATGTGTTCCTTATAAGGATTTTTATCATTGAATAAAATAATTGTTTTTAGTAGGAACAGTAATTATATTTAATATTTACACAGGCTGAGATCCAAAAAAATCTAGAAATCTGATAACATATTTCTGACGTTATTCGATGAGCTGAATTTGAATCTGGCTACAAAATTGATCTGTGACCTAAGATTTTCGAGGTATTTTAACTTAAAAGTTTGAAAATTCACGATTATTTGCTATGTTCAATATTATGTAACATTGTAAATAAATTTTTGTTTTAAGAATCAATAAAACCATAACAGAACAATACTCTAGCTCTTTAAATCCTATTTTTTTTGAATGAGAAATATCTTTTTTTCTCGTTGAGATATCATTGAATGATGTTAAGTATTTTAGTAATTTCGAAACAACATCAAACTCACAGGTTACAGGGGTTAGAAGTTAAGGCAATTGAAGTTCAAAAGTTTGGAGTATTATAGATGTATGAGATGATTGGTTTGTTTTAATGTAAGTGCAGAACTGTTGAAGTATTTACTACAGGCCATGATATTTCGAAGGAGAAAAAAGATAACTTGTATCCAAAAAATGGGTTTTTGTGGGCAAGAGTGTTGCTTTGCCAACTCTACTGGTTTTTAAGAAAAAAATGTATTCAAGGTGTTACATAACCTTAAATATAGCAGAATATCCTGATTTTCGCACATTTAGGTTAGAATATTTTGGAAGCCATAGGTGATGGATTAATTGGAGCCAGATTCCGATTCAACGCTTTAAAATCTTACGGAAAATACTATCGATTATCGTAGTTTCAAAGATTTACAATAATTCGGAAATGATGTACATATTGAACGAAACAATACCAAATTATATATGTCTTCGTCTTTTTATAAAGAGCCTTTGATTCTCGCGCGGCTATTGTTCGTACAGATTCGGTAGTTGGCACTTCTTTCGGTCAAATTCAATTCTCTCTTTGTCCATTATTTTATTTTTATTTCTATGCCTTGTACAACCGTTTAGTCTACTTTGTGTGCGTACGTTCTCGAATTACTTTTTTCGCAAATTAGATAACAATAAAGATTGTGCTATTTATTTGATTGTATCATTCACTTGCTTTTATTGTGCAATAATAGTAATTTTTAGTGCGTTTGTAAACGGTGGATTTATTCTGAATATCTGAATTTGACCTGATTGTTTATATATGTTCACGCATTCTCTTGAATGGTTCTACTTATGTCAATAGATGTCGACTTATTTAATATACTCCTGGAATTGCTCCATATGTTCGTAAATTCACCTGAACTATAATTTGATGATTTACAAATATATTAAAGTTAGCTTTTTAAAAATGAATTGTTTTCGATCATCCATACTTTTTTTCATTTAAGACAACATTTATTAATTTAAAATAAGGTTTCTGTTTAAATTTTGTCGTTTTTTTTACGATTATTTATTTGAATTAAAATTATAAAATGTTTTTTATAAACATCAATTTTTGTTTTGAAGCTATCAAAAGTAAAAATATTTTGAAATTCCTTCTTTTTAACGTATAAATGCAAATTATGATAACTATAATGAAACCCTAACTTTTATTCTGTTTCAGGAGTACATTTGAAATTATTCCACTTGAAAACAACAGTAATATATCACCAGTCATTCAAAATGGAAGATCACTTGGTCTCGCCTCATGGTGTATTAAACCTCTTTTTTGTTACGTGTACCGTCATATACTTGAGACTAAGCGAAACTTGTCTCAAGCAACAACAACATGTATTTCTCGTTGGCTTTTAGGAGCTCTGGTATTAAACCCGGACGTGTGTACATTTTGGAACATGCGGAGAGAGCTAATGCAAAATAATAAGTTGGATCCAATCAGCGAATTACATTTTGTAAATATAGTAATTTATCGTAAAGCTCAAAGTTTTGAAGCTTTTTCATACAGACGTTGGTTATTGACATTAATGTTGCATTTTCATAAAGAAATTCTTGATACAGAATCTCTACTTCGTAAAGAATATGAAGTCACCACGATAGCAGCCACTAAACATAGAAATAATTGGCTTGCTTGGACATACAGAACATATATTGTTCTGATATTCCGTCAAATCTTTGTTGACAAATTTTTTAGTTATTTATATGAAGAGTGGGAACAATCAACAATATGGTGCAATTCTCATATTTCTGATTTTAGTGGATTTGCGTACAGACAGTTCCTATTGTGGAATTTGTTATTGTATAAAGCTGGTAACATAAAGAAAAATCGATCGGTATTATTAAAACGGCATCAGAAAAATATTTACAAATTTATATCAGTTGCAAACGATGGATATAAAAAAATGCAAGTTTCTGATAAGGAATTTACTAAAGGGTTCTTAGATCTTTTTAGGAAAAAAAGTAATAAAATATGTTCAGGCAATGATTTGGAAAATTTTTTTATGAATCTGTCATATTGGACAGAAGATTGTTTACTAAATGAAGAGTTAATAAATATTTTTCCAGATCATGAAACTCTATGGTATCATAGACGTTTTTTAGTTATTTGTTTTCTTGCTTTAACAAACAATATGATTAATTTATTATCTGTGAGAAATACCTGTTTATTTAAAAACGAATTTTATAATGGAAATAGTAACTATACCAGTTTACTCTTGTCAAATGATGTTTCCTTAAAAGATGTTCTTACTACTGCCTTTCGAATTCGAAATAGAAAATTAATTAGTTTAACCAAAAATGATAAAACTTACGTACATTCTCATAAACAAAATTTTTTTCGTTTTTTAATTCGTCATCATATAAAACCCTAAAGTATCGAATTTCCATGTTTGTATTCTCTTCTTAAATATAAATTTCATATTTTATATATATGAATAACTAGCTTTTATTAGTAGGAAAAAGAATCTCGTTATATCTCCCCACCTCCTCCAAATATATGTATGTATAATTACAATTTATTATTATTATTTAAATAACAGGTACACAAACAAAAATAAGTTACACCCTTATTTTTACAATTAGTTCATCCAAATTGAGATTCTTGAATTGCAAAATCTTCTAAATTCCTATAAAAATTTTCAATCATTGTCTTTTCTCTCAACGACTCACCAGTTCTCGCTAGAACATTGGAGGTCAATAGTAAGAGTTTTTCTTTTCATTAATTGCTAATGTTAAGTTTTTGGATTATACTTCAAAATTAATAAGTTAAATTGTGAAAACGGAATTGTAAATATCAAGCCACGTGCAGCGTAACATACATGTTTATATATGAATGTGAACTTCGCTAAATGAGGGTCGGTCAATAATTCCGTAACTTCAGAAAAAAAAACACTATTTATTTAAATAATTCCAATTTATTTTTGAACATAGGTCTTCTTTACATCTATAAATTTATTATAGCGGTGTTCAAGCTTTTTTATGACCTCTGAAAAGTAATTTTTATCTAACTTCTTAAAATGGTAATTTATTGCAGCAACTACCTCTTTGTTGGATTAAAATTTTTTACCCGCAAGCCAAATTTTCGTGTCAGGAAACAAAAAATAATCTGGAGAATAAGGTGGATAAAGAAGTATTTCGTAGTATAAATTAAATAATTTGGCTGGTGCAATGGGACTCATTTGAGCTGGAGCATTATGGTGATGGAAAAGAACTTTGTAGGTAATCGATTAATGTTCTACCACTGGAGTCCCGAAAATTGTAGCCATGACTTTTCCGGCTGATCGTAAGGTCTTCGCTTTTTTCGGTGCATATTCACTTGACACAGTCCACATTTTCGTCTGATTTTTCGTTTCTTGCTTATAATAATGAATCCTTGTTTCCTCAACAGTAATTTAGCATCACAAAAACTCCTTCAGATTACATTGAAATATGTTGAAACATTGCTTACGTATATTTCAGTGTAGTCCTTCTATGTGAATTGGAAAGAATCGGTATATGTTTTATATTAAATTGAATAATAACAGTGATTTCATTACGTGCTTGTATCAATTTATACCTGTCATTGGAGGTAAAAGATTAAACTCATGTAATTTTCATGTGTTTTTAGATATTTATTAACATAGAGAAGAGAGAGAGAGAGAGAAAATATCTTGATTTTCAAAAGATATCATTTAAATAAATTCAAAAGAAATCATCTAAATATGCTTTACTTTGATTTTTTATTGAAATTAACAATATGTACATATGCTATTATAATTTGCTTTTTTTTAGTATATGAAATAAACGATCTACTACAAATTTTCGCTACTCATTAATCTACCAATTATCAAACCCCATAATTACGTCTATCTTGTTGTATATAAATTCATGTGAGATCAATAGAAATGGAAATAGAAATTCTCGAACCTCCTACAACATGTAAGTACCGAAGATACTGACTCTGTTTTCCTCCCTCCCTTTCTCTCTCTCTGCACACTCTCATTTATATGATCCATTAAGTATAGTCTCTGCTACAATTACACGTACTTTTAACTAACTCATACTTAATTTGTTCACTCAATTCTCGTTTTCTTTCCTCACTCGTTTGTCGGTATATTCTTAACTTACGTTTTCGTTTATCTAAACTTGACGACGCTCTCCATGGTTTCAGAGAGCAAGACTTGTCAGTGATATTGTTATGTCAGACTGAACTTTACCTGCGATGTTACCCGCACCATGCGAAATCTTGGATCTTTAATAGACGGACCGGCGAGACATTTACTCTCGGCTAGTTCCTGAGGAAGCAGATTCCTCTTCTTTATATCAATGGGTAATATCATCATCGGCTGAAATTCCCGTTATATAACATTTGTAAAAGGATAATCGGTTTTTTACAATTGAATATTTGTCCGCGACTCTATTAAATTATTTGCGCGGAGAGCGTGAGGCACGAATGCTCCGGCTACAAAGTAATCTGCCATGCGTGCAAGTTGCAATGTTCGCGTGAGAGAGAGTTTAGATTGGAAAGAACAGGACACAATATAAAAATGATGCCAACAATTTATCAGAACATATTTTATTGCCGATCCATTCGTTAATAAATAAAATAAAAGAAAATACAAAAACAAAAAAGAAAAAACCAAAATGATCTACCGACAATACCACCTCTCCAACGGCGAACATCTTACGCGAATGCATGTCTGCACTGCGGTAAGATTCCTTCGTCTAATTTGTAGTAGCGTAGAATGCACAACCGTGGCATAATGGACACGGTTGATAAGCGAAAGCTAAGGGTGACGACACTCGCGAAATATGTGCACGTTTATGGTGATAGGAGGAAAGAGAGAGCTCACGCTGTTGCTGCTGTCGCTGTTCCTGCCGTTGCTACCATTACTCTGCTGCTACATGGAAACTGTAAACAGGAGAGTGAACATAATGTATAAGCCTTGACGAACTGACATGACCATCCCTCCATCCCTTGCGGGTATATAAATATGAGTATCTGAAAAACAGATAGACATATCTCTTTATTATTAGAGTCTTGGTCATTTCTGTTTTCGTTTGTTCTATATGGTATTTACTGTATAATGTGATGATCAGGATATGGATAGTATGTCATATTCTGTGGCTGCTCCATCTCTGTAGGATACTTCAGGTATCTTGCTCCGTAAGATACGAAATAAGTGTATTAATCACATTTTTTACTCTAGTATGACTAATAGCATTTATTAGTTTCAAATTATATTGGTAGCATTAATGGTGTGAATATTTTACACTATAATCTAAAAGAATTTCAACAGTTTCCAAAACACAATATCTGTCAGCAAAATGTAGAGGGGTGAATCCTGGCAAAACTGGAGAATTAAAGGGAATATTGCCATTTATAGATATACGTATCATTCTTTCATATATACTTTCATACATTCTTTCATATATTTCTACAGCTTTTACATGGTTGGCCATACATGCAACATGAAAGTGAGAGAGTCTAAATTTATTAGACAGTATCAAATTAAGCTAAAAAAATTTACAATGAATCACTACTTTTTATAATAAAATCATGTTAAAAAGTTTAAATAAATTATTTCAACTTATCTGTCTTCTGCCGAAAACTTAATAGTATTCAAAGAGTTTGAGGATTTTATTTACTCTAGGTATCAGCCATGTAGTCTGGGCGCTGGTGATATTTGACTATATTTGAAAGGTCTTCTCGATAATTTTAGTTTACTTTTTTTTTTTTTTGGGTCGCTGAATCGATTTTTCAATGTTACCGAGCCGAATTCCTTTCCAATTATTGTTATAAACAAATTAAGTTGCAAAATTGCGTTTATTTGCGTTTTAAATCGGAAAAATTTAATTTATTGTAAATTTGAGCCTAGATTATGATTCTACAGCAAAAAAAAATATATAAAAGTATATAACTTTTAATAAATTTGTTTTCATTTACTCGATATAAATACATTGATGTTTACCGGACTGTAGCCGTGAAGCGTACATACACTGCGCACCGCGCCGCTTAATGAATTACAGCTTTCTTTCTGTAGTTTTTTTATATCGTCTTTTTGGTACTTTTCTCGACTTTTTATAATAATAAATTATTAATTGTGCAACGGTAGTCGATTCAATTAATCGATCCGTTTTATTACTCACGTGTTAGTTCGAACGATTAAGAGAGAGAGAGAGAGAGAGGGCGCGCGAGCGTTTGAAATGGGCAGTTTAGCCTCAGCTGCTTTCGCGAATATACGGCCAATCCGATTTGCACTGTGTTTCGCCGTTTCGATTAAAGTTTCCTGGGACAATTTTGATATGTGCGTGCGTGAGTGGTAAGGAAGCATTAAAAAGTAGCAAGCAACAGCAGTGTAGCAGCAGCAAATTGCAGCAGATTAGAGAGTGAGGTAGCGCAGCTGATCAATTGGAGGAGCATCGACAGTTGATTTCCTTCATCAACAATTACGGCTGATCACCGTAATTGCATCGCAGGGGAGGTGCAGTTCCCATTATTATTGCGTGACAAAATACGTTCGGAAGTATTTTATCAACCGCGATATTGAATCTTTTTGTATTCGCGCCGAGCGTTAGTTTCGCGGAAGTTTTCGAATTTTCTCTCTCTTTCTCTCATCGAATATTAATAATTGATTGTAAATCCTAATCGTATGCGTTAGTCTTTCGGCCCAAAAAAGACTGTAATTTTTATTGATTAAAATTAGTTAATTTTATTTGCCGATTACGTCATTTCATTTCCTATTAGCTTAAGCGATTTATAAAGGCTTAGGTTTTAATCCGATTTCATCTAGGGGATAAAGCGGATTACGCATAAAGTCACTCACACCTAAGATACATCGAGTGTCACAAGTCAAGTGACTTAAGGTGAATTCAATTCAGTTGGAAAGAAGACACCGAAACGAAATCATCTGGCGTAAAGGCGGATACACGTACAACCATATGTGTTTAACGGAGCGGCGGTTAGCTCTGCATCGTGGGAGTTTGTGCTTAAATAAATTTTCCATTTTGTTAGATACCCCCTCCCCGCCGTCACAATTGATATTGAAAAAAATTAGATATTTCTAATAAATATTTTTTATACTTTTTAACAAACATTTTGATAAATAGATAGACTTGTATATTTTTTTGTAGTAAAATAAACAAATATTTAATCAATAAAATATTACATATTTTCTTTTCCCCTTTATAAAAAAGAGAATGCGCCATGTTGAAAATTTTTATTATATTTCTGATTGGTCGAAGTCGAAACAAGCGCGAGAATAAAATTTGAATTGATTTAAATTGAATTTAAATCAAATTTTAATTTCAATGTAGTTGATATATCGATTTTACTTTTCAGTTATATCAAATATCGATTTGTACTATTTTATTGCTACTTATTTGTTATATCAAATTGCTTAAAATCCCCTTTATAAAAAACATGAAATCCTTCTAAAATCGACGACAGGGCCAGTCCCCCTCCCGCAGCCCAACGTACGCTTGTTGCGAATGCGCATAACAAAAGTCATCGATGAAAGACAAAAGCTGTCATAATCAGCCATAATTGCCTCTATCGTTCAAGCTTGCAGTGTATACGTATACATCGGCAACCGCAAGCATCCGTTCAATTTGTTAAAATCTGATTCTGTACAATACCTAGGTAAGTTTTATTTAAATGTTTAAGCAAATCCCATCGTCAGTTACATTTTATTTTTTAATTTTGCTAATAAAGCGAAAAAATATAATTCATTCATATTTCCATAACCTATACTATATACACGTGTTTGTCGCTATGCAGTTTGTATTACTTTTCCGTCAATATTTTATTTCATAATCTATATACTATATATACACGTGTTAGTCGTTATGCAGTTTATATTTCTTTTCCGTCAATATTTAATTATAAAAGTTCAATAAGTAATTGATTGACACAGATTATATTTCTTTTTCGTTTTTTTTATATTCGTCTTTCATACTATTCTTTTTTTATGTATATAGGTTATTACGATTTAAAGTCAATTATGGGTGAAAATATGGATAATGAACCCATTGAGTTATCAGCAAACGATGTTTTTGAAAACCTGACTGAATTTGATAAGACTACGTAAAAACATTCGATTTTTAATAAATTCGTTTATTTTATCATGCAATCATTTTGTAATTTGTATTTGTTATAGTGAAATAGTGGGTTTCATTGATATCCTTTATGCACCACGAGAAGTGGGCAAAAAGATGGAGTACAGATTATTTAAATTTGTTCTGACTAACGGAGACAAGAAACTATCATGTGTGATATGGAACGATGTAATTGCAAGATATGAGAATGACATTCGTCTTAATCGAGTGAGTATATATATATATATATATATATATGCCAATTATTTATCATTCAAACATATATATTCTATTTTAATTGAATTTTTTTATAGATCCTTCATATTACTGGTGCATTAACTAAAAATCCCAAGTCATTTGTAAATCATGAGGATGGATTTGTTCCTTGGGAACTAACAATTATGGGGAGTACTAAAGTTGAGTACCATGGCTATCACAATGCTGTAGATGTCGATACCCCTGCTCCTGACCCTACTCGTGTGACCTTCGAAAGCATTGTCAATCACGACAGTTCTTTAGTCTGTAAATAACTATTATTTTTTTAGATTCCAATAACTTAATCTTGATTCAACTTTAACCACTTATACTGTTGCAATTTCACTATTATTAAATAATTTTTGGTATGAAGCTAATAAAAATCTAAATTTTAATTTGTTGCAGTAATTGAGGGCTATTTGAAGCAAACTTTTAGAGTCATAGAAAGTCGCTATAGAAATATGAGCTATGGAAGCAGTGCCCTTACTGATGGCAACTTCAAAATCAACGTAGACATTACTAACTATATTCCATTGGACTACGAGATAGGCTCTAAACTCACAGTAATTGGAACTTTCAACTATACTGGTGAGTAAAATACATGATTATACAGACACATATGCATGCAAACTCTAAACACAAAAAATAATACACACACGAAAACAATTTGAAAAAATAAATTAATGACGTTGTTGTAAAATTATTGTATTAAATTGTTTTAAGGTGGACTGGGAACTATCAACTGTAAGAACGTACAGGGAATAATATTGGATCCCGCTGCTGCCAAGATGGAGCTACAACACTTGAGAAGAGGAAATAAATTTCCAAAACGCACAGCTCCTACCGAATAAAATAGATTTTTCTTTTTGTTTTGTAAGTTTCATCGTATGATGTAAGCAAATTTTATTTCTTTTTAAAATTTAATTACTTTTTTAATTGCACTCAAATTTTGACTTTCATTTCAATTCCACTCAAATTTTGAGAATGGATTTTTAGAAATTGTTTCATTCTTAGATTTCTCATTTGTAATATTTCGCACAGCTTAACTTCTTACTCGGTATTTGATTTTCAATTTTCTTTGATTTGACTACAGTAGTTTCTAATTTATCACACATTTAATTATGTATTATATTATTCAATTACTAGCGAGAAATTTTGACTCATTATGTAAAAACTACTTTACTTAATCTATGTGATTGTCATCGATATTTAAAAATTTTATTAGACTTAACTTGATTGTGTTCTGTATCTAATACATAATATCACCCATTGTCTACTGTGTTAAGTATAAATAACATTTATATACATTAAATGTATAAAATAAATGTTTTGTGATACTAAAGTATAGAAAATTATGTATTATTGTAATTTAATATTTGAATATGACAATGTAAAGACCACGTTTTGTAAAAAAATATTTCAGTAATACATATTTATATTTCAAAGGGACTGACTAAATGTAGTGGATAATAATAAAGTATTAATAAGTTTAAGTATCTGTCATTGATAAATACGTATTACTGACATATTTTTATATTGATATGTATTTTAATTTAAAAGATGTAACCTCTAAAACAAATGTAATTCTGAAGTTTTTGAATTATAAAATAAAATGAAACCCTTCCATCTTCTTGATATAAAATAATAAATACAATTTGCTAACTAAATTTCTTCTATTTTTTGCACGGAAACGCAACAATACAATCTATGAATCTCTTTGTTCAACACTGAAAGAAAACATAATTTCCGACATGATTATTTACGTAGGTAACTCAAATGATTTATTTACTTTCATTTACTTATTTCTTATTCTTATTTAATGTGAAACCATTTTTCAAATCACGCTCAGTTCTCAAATAAGACAAATAACAAGATAAAAGGGGGTTACTCTATTCTTTGAGCTGAAATAATAATAAAATAAAATGAAAGTGTAGTGTATTGTTTTATAACATTTTTTTTCTCTTAAATTACTTAAAAAGTATGTGCACTTGACAGCTACGTCGTGATAAAATTTCAATCGAAAATGTTTGCGCATGCGTGCTGTGCAGGGGTTGCTGCTGTAATCCATGTAGCAATAATGTTCATGTATGTATAACATATATATTTATATTCACTCAAATACGGTCTCAAAATAGACGACCACGTTTTTCTTCGTTGTGCAAATTTGCAAACATCAAAAAAAGCTGTACAGAATATAATTGCTGTAAATACGATGTAAGTATTGAGTAATATAAAAATAAAATAAGAATAAATGATTTAAAGATGATTCGAGAGATAAACCAAGATGCGTGCTTGAAGTCTAAGTATTTAAAGTGGCTCCTGAGGCATGGCACAAGATAGAACTTTCCTTAATTTCCGAAATGACGCGTATGCCACATTTGATTCCAATAAATATATATTTTTTTAAATGTATATTAACAGCGGACGTGACATGTAACAAATTGTACAATTTTTGGTTTACGCTACATATTCATCATACAAATTTGCTTAGAATGTGTTTCATGCTGTACGACATTTATATGAGGTTATTTTTTTCAGTTTTCATCGTTTGAAAAGTACCATCAACTTTACATTTGCATTTATAAGATTGAAAAGACTTCTTGCTTTTGCACTTTCAAGGAAATTAGGATTGTACTTTGAAGAAAATTGACATTGCACTTTAAAGAGGTATTATAACTTAATTTCAAGTCTCGGATATATATGTGTATACTGTTATTTTTACATCGGGAATATGATTTATCGAATTTTTGTTTTACGCTACATATTCATTATTCAAATTTGTTTTGGATGTGTGCTATATGACATTAATGAAAGGTTATTTTTTTCAGGTTTCATCATCCTTTGCAAGGTGCCATAATCGTTCCGTTTTCTACATATTTATGAAGAAATTCATTCATATTTTTGTTTCAATTAAAAGAAAATAATAAACGAATTGAAAGAGATATTTTCAGAAAATCATATTTTATTTACTTTTAATTGAAATAACTATACTTACGGCTAAGAGTATTGAATTTTTAGAAAGGAAAAATTGGATTCATAGCAGAAATTTGAATGTTGGAGATAATTTTTGTTTAATTATAAAGTGAAAAAAAACGAAATTATAACTAGAGCGAAATTTGAATATCAACCATCAGAAAAGATTTTACTTTACCCGAACGAACTTGAACTTTTATAGCGACATGAACAAACTAAAAGCATTTCACTTACAAAAGCATTGAAACAAAAGCATAATAATTAAAAATCGACAAGCCAACGAAACCTCAATCATCAAAAACTGAAACTAAGCATTTTACTGACAAATCACAATAACATTTTACTGTTAACTTTATACAGAAATTAATCATCTACTTCACAAACTATATTATTTCATTTCAAAAGCATCAAACTATCAACATTTGCTTTTATTACAACCAAATAGATTTACGTTTTATTTTTTATATAAATCCATCACTTTTTTATTAGACCTAAAAAAAATGGGAAGGAGAAAAATACTAAGTTCTCCAGAAGAAGAACAAAATTATCAAATTGAAAAACGTATGCGATATTCGGAAAATCAAAGAAATCGACGGCAGGCTGCGCGGAATAATTCTATAAATGATGCACAACAGAATGCTGTAAATCAAGCTACACGTAATAATTCTCTTAATAACAAGCAAAACTCCATAGTGGAAGAAAACTATTTAGGAAAAATGGATACATTGTGTACTCATTGTAACGCAAAACATTTTGATTCAGAAAGAGTGCAACGTAAAGGTTTATCTTTTAATGATTGCTGTTCCCATGGGGCCGTGGCTTTAGATAGAACACTAGATTTTCCTCAAGAACTTGCATTTTTATTTAATGGAACTCATGCAAAATCAAATAATTTCTTTGAGCACATTCGTTATTACAATAATTCACTGTCATTCGCTTCTTTTAATGCTAATTTAGTAAACTTTCAATCACGACGTCCTGGGCCGTATTGCTTCAAAATTCATGGTCAAATATATTATCAAATCAATACAGCTTTGTATCCTTCTGAAAATGAACAGCCAGCTTTTGGACAACTATTTTTTGTTGATCAAGAAGAAGCCCTCAATTGTAGATACACTCAAAATCCTCATCTTGATCAGGAAACTCTTTCCCTTTTGGATAAAACAATAAGAGAGAATAATATTTTTGCACAATCTTACGCAATGATGAAACAAGAAATAAATGATCAAAGATTATTAATGAATGAGGAGAATGAACCTGAATTACAATTATTATTTTCTTTAAAACCAGGATTTGACAGACGAAGGTTTAATTTTCAACGAACAAATGAAGTTGCTGCTATTTTCTCAACAACAGCAGACGGAGAAATCCCAGAGTCTTACGTTACTATTAGAAATAAAAATACGAAAGTTTTACATTACGTGAGTACTATGGATCCGAACGTGGAGCCATGGATTTACCCATTATTTTATCCTTACGGATCCAGAGGGTGGCATAAAAATATCGAATGTGCTAAAATTAATGAGAATGATAAAACCCGACGAGTAACTCGAATGGCTTACACCAAATATAAAATTGCTGTAAGACCAGATGAATTTAACGCTTTATTATTAGGTCGTCGATTATTTCAGCAATGGACGGTAGACTCTTACGTTAAAATCGAAAAAGACAGAATACAATGGTGTAAAGATCATCAACGAGAGATAAAAGCAGATACTTATCAAGGACTGCATGATTATTTACTAAATTCTGCTAATGATATTGATGGTCAAGTAGGAAAAACTGTTATTTTACCATCGTCTTTTATAGGGTCCCCTCGCCATATGCAACAAAATTATCAAGATGCAATGGCTTTAGTTGCTAAAACTGGTAAACTGGACATTTTTCTTACAATGACTTGCAATCCTAGATGGAAGGAAATTCAAGAAAATCTGCTACCAGGTCAACAGGCATCTGACAGACCTGATATTGTAGCTCGTGTATTTCATTTGAAAAAAAATCGTTTGCTTGATGTAGTCATAAAAAATAAGTTCTTTGGAGAAGTAGCATCTTATGTTTATGTTATTGAATTTCAAAAACGTGGTCTACCACATATGCATTTATTGATAACATTGAAACATTCTTATAAAATAACCACACCCGAAATGGTTAACAAATTTATATCAGCTCAACTTCCTGTTAAAGAGCTTGATCCAATTTTATTTGACATCGTCGTAAAAAACATGACTCATGGACCTTGTGGTGACTGGTGTAAGATAAAAAACAAATGCTCAAAAAAATTTCCAAAAGATTTTCAAAATGAAACAACATTGGATGAAAACGGCTATCCTAATTATCAAAGAAAAAATGACGGTATTACTCATGAACTACCAAATGGTCATGTCATTGATAATCGATGGATTGTACCGCATTGCCCTGAATTATTAAAAATGTTTAACTGTCATATCAATGTGGAGATTGTGTCAAGTGTTCGAGCCGTTAAATATTTGTATAAATATATCTATAAAGGACATGATGCCGCTACTGTAACTATTGGACATGAAAATACTGCATCTACAAATACCATCAATCACGATGAAGCAACTAATTTTATAGAAACTCGATATGTCGGACCCGTTGAATCATGTTATCGAATTTTGAGTAAAACATTACAAGATAAGAGCCATTCTGTGGAAAGATTACCAGTTCATTTACCAAATCAACAGTGTGTTGTTATTTCTAATGATGAAAGTAACTTTATAGAAAATCTGAATCAAGCAAGCAGCAAATTACTTGATTATTTCAAATTAAACATTGAAAATGAAAATGCACGTTGTTACTTATATAGCGACATACCATCTTTTTTTACTTACAAAAAAGAGAAAATAGACGGGGTCTCGGTAACTAAATGGACAACGCGGAAGAAACATTTCAACTGCATCGGACGAATGTTTTCTGTCAGTCCTACACAAGTAGAACTCTTTCACTTACGATTATTATTATTGCACGTAAGAGGAGCTACGAGCTTTGATTCATTAAAAACAGTTAATGGTATAGTACAACCTACGTTTACAGCAGCTTGCTTAGAATTAGGACTGATAGAGGATGATCAAGAATGGGCTAAAGCAATGGAAGAAGCTACATTGTGGATGATGCCACGCAGACTTCGACAATTATTTACTCGCATTTTAATACACTGCTAACCGATACATCCACAAGAATTGTGGGAGAAATTGAAAGATGCCTTGTCTGAAGATTTTTCACGGACACATGATATGGTTGTAAGTCATCAAATAGCGTATGCTGAAATAAATAATTTGTTAAATAATGAAGGTAGAAGTTTGTCTGATTTTCCTTCTATGAATCAAACAGTAATTACACATATTTCATCAGAAAATAATGATGAATTATTACAAACAGAGCATGCAGAAATCGGTAAAAAACAGTATGATGTATTAAATGAGCAACAAAAAGAAATTGTTGATATTGTTTTAGAAAAAGCTATTGATATCGATAATCTCGATAATAATTGTATATATATTAATGGACCGGGAGGATTTGGAAAAACGTTTATATATACAACTATTTACCATTTATTGTGCTCAAAAAATATTAAAGTAACTTCAATGACTTTTACTGGAATTGCGGCAATATTACTTCCAAAAGGGAAAACAGTACATAAGACATTTGGTCTTCCTGTCCCAATGTATAGCGATTCATCATCAAGCATTCGAGCACAATCTAAAGAAGGTCTTTTACTCAAAGAAACAAAAGTTTTCATTTGGGACGAAGCACCTATGGCTCCGAGATATGCATTAGAAATAGTAAACAGGACGCTACAAAATATTATGAACAATAATTTACCATTTGGTGGTAAAGTTGTGGTTTTGGGTGGCGATTTTAGACAACTTCTCCCTATTAAAATGAATGGAACACGAACTGAAACCTTGAATCTTTCTATTAAGTACAGCGAATCATGGCGACATTTCATAAAATACAATCTTACTACAAATATGAGAGTCTTGCCTAATGAAATAGATTTCGCTAAATTTCTATTATTAGTTGGTGACGGAACTCTAAACGATCAACAAGATAATATAACTTTGCCTGGTCACTGTATTCTTGATAAGAATGATGATATTGTTCGTCATGTATTTAAAAAATTGATTACAGAAAAGAAATTTGATGTAATAAGTAAACGTGCTATTTTGTCGGCGCGAAACCTTGATGTTGATGAATTAAATAAATTGGTTACTGATTTACTAGACATAACTACAGAACATATGAGAACTGTGACAACGGTGAATTTGATGAAATACTTTTGCCAGAATATTTAAACTCATTAAATCCTTCCACTTTGCCTCCACATGAATTACGATTAAGAAAAAATTGTATTATTATGCTAATTAGAAATATAAGTATTCATGAAGGTTTATGCAATGGTACGCGTTTACGAGTACTAGATTTTTCCAATCATTTGTTAAAATGCGAAGTTTTAACAGGTCACAAATCAAATAATATCGTATTTTTAAATCGTATTACATTATTTTCAGCAAATGAGTATCCGTTTACTTTTAAAAGACGCCAATTTCCGGTCAACTTAGCGTTTGCAATGACTATCAATAAAGCTCAAGGTCAAACATTTGAATATATAGCTATTGATCTTCGTAGGGATGTTTTTAATCACGGTCAATTGTACGTGGCTATGTCTAGAGTACGTTCATGGGATACTCTCAAAATTTATCTAGGTAATCAGCCACGGAACAGTTATACAGTTAAAAATTATGTTTTTAAGGAGCTTTATTCATGAAAAATTGAAGACACGATAATATTTCTAATATTAAGAAGAATAATAAATAAATAAGGCACGCGAAGCGCGCTGTGATAGTTCTAGTATCTTAAAATGTTTAATAAAGTAAACTCTATCCAATGCAAGACTAAGCGTCAGCAGGTCTCAGCACTTCGTAAGAAGCACTCTGACGTGCTTGCAATAGCGGCTTTGATTATCGTTAACAGGGCTGTATTATACCACAGACATGTATCGAAGTACTCGTGAATAGGTAGTATCCCAAGTGTTTGTATCATGTCGTAAGACAATAGTGTAGATTTCGATAAAAGTTTGTGCATTTTGGGTCAATTGAATTAAAAAGAAATTAACCAGTACATCCAATGGTTGTAAGAAAATACAAGAAGTTGCTACTCACAGAAAAGATGCCGTATTATTATGAATGAACCAGCTGCGATTTGAGGAGCTTTTTCAATATCACATGAGTAATGCTTGCTATAGATCCTACGTAGATAAAGGTAAAATAGAAAGAGCTGTAAATAAAATGAAAAACGAAACTATATTAGATCAACGTGCGCTAATAAACGTTACAAAAAAGAGTCATTGAATTACGAGATTGCAATTATCATCTTCGTTGAGTTTTTCGTCACAACATATTTGTAAATTTGATCGGGCAGACTAATTTTTAAAAATTACACGGCTTTACAAAATTTTACACAAATAATGTTTTTACCCAATGTTCAATTTGCAAAGAGCTAAAAATACTTTTCCTGCTAATATTTATTGTCATAAAAATTGCATAGAAATACTTGAAAAAATACGACTTTGGTGAAAAATCTCAATCTTAATTCAGAGAGCGCTAGTGCAATAAGAATAATGATTCAACAGATGAGAAGTTACAAGCAATTGCTCCGGCAATTAGTTCATTAATGTTGCGAATTCGTCGCAGAGAGATTTTTCATTTAGCAAGTGTTCGTTACCATGTTAATCAAGTTGCTGAGTCGAATTTAAATATTCTGAATGTAGATATAAAAAATTATTTAATAAATCATTACGGCAAAATAATTGAATTTTAGAATAGAAAAAAGCCAACATTATTTTACGATTACAATATATCTTTAGAAGATTTTGTACCACAGTTACAGCCGAAATATATATTTAAGGAAAATGCAAGAATATGGTATGATGAATTGAATAAGCTTGATTTTGAACTTGAAGATAGATTTTTTTATGCAGATAATTTCTTGCACACAACATTATTACATGAGCGACATAAAAATAATTACTCCTGGAGTTCCACAAGGAACAATATTATGACCACTATTTTTCATTTTATATGTTAATGATCTATTGGACATTTACATATGACGTGCTGGACATGAATTATATTATACAGGGTGTCCCATATTAAAGGAACCATCCCAAAATTTTCGACGGTTGGCGTTGTACAAAAAAATTGTTCAGACAATAGTTGTTTGGGACAATGGGGGCAACCTTTCTGTGAAATCCGATTCGACCTTGAGATTTATTTTCAAAGACATTTGAAGGTCAAAGTCATTTTTTGAATAGGAACCCATTTTTTTATCCCGGATTCGGAAAGAGCGGAAAATTCTACGTTCAGATAACGTATTATGTGAGGGGTGCGGTTAACCCCCCCCCCTCGCCTAAGGTCCTGTAGGGGTCAAATTTATGATTTTCTTCATCTATGCACAGGGATGATCGGGCAAGAGTAAGGTTAATTGTAATAAACCAATAACTCGATAACACAAATAACCCAATGATCCAATAACCCGATAACCCCAATAATTCAATGTAACCCCAATATCCCAAAAAAATTGTAGGGTCAAACAACAGTGATCTTGAGCTAAAACTTCAGGTTTATTTTCAAAGTCGACTTCATGTATTCAAAGCCTAATATTAAGCCTGTATTAACCTCACCCTTGCCCCGGTGGGAGGGGGGTGAACTGCTCCCCCAACATAATACTTTATCTAAACGTAGAATTTCCCGCTCTTTTCGATTCCGGGATAAAAAATGGGGGTCCTTATTCAAAATATCTCTTGGTTATTGGGTTATTGGGGTTATTGGGGTTATCGAGCTATTGGGTATTGGAGTTATTGGGTTATTACAATTAACCTTACTCTTGCCCGATCATCCCTGTGCATAGATGAAGAAAATCATAAATTTGACCCCTACAGGACCTTAGGCGAGGGGGGGGGGTTAACCGCACCCCTCACATAATACGTTATCTGAACGTAGAATTTTCCGCTCTTTCCGAATCCGGGATAAAAAAATGGGTTCCTATTCAAAAAATGACTTTGACCTTCAAATGTCCTTGAAAATGAATCTCAAGGTCGAATCGGATTTCATAGAAAGGTTGCCCCCATTGTCCCAAGCAACTGTTGTCTGAACAATTTTTTTGTACAACGCCAACCGTCGAAAATTTCGGGTTGGTTCCTTTAAAATGGGACACCCTGTATACTGATGTCCCTGTTATCATTACAAGTGATAATACGTGAACTAAAGCAGCTGATGCAGTAAATAAGAATTTACAAAAGGTAGCTATTGGTTAACATTAAACAAATTATCACTAAATATAAACAATACTGTATATATGACTTTTGAAAACTACTGTGATAGCGTGTCTGAAACAATAAATATTAAATTAAATAATAATATAATAACTAGAGTAACAGAGAACAAGTATCTAGGTATTATATTTGATTATAATCTAAAATGGGATTAGTATACTAAATCTTTAATAAATAAAATAGAGTATTTCATTTTTATATTTGCAAAATTGAAAAATATTATGGATTCAAAGACACTTATGATAATATATTATGCTCTCTTTCAGAATACTGTCAAATATGGAATAATTGCTTCAAGTGGAGTATATGCAAATAATCTGACCCTAATACAAAGAATATAAAACAAAATATTAAAAGTAATAAATAAAAATCATCTTCAAAATGCAGAAAATATTCTTATAATCAAGCAATTGTTCTAACTAGAAGTAATATATTATCGTTACAATAGTCTACATTATACTTACATGAAAACGAAAAGTATAACAAGAAATAAATCCATACATATACCTAAATTTAGTAAAAGAATTACCGATAAAAATAGCTACCTAGAAACAATAAAAATTTTCAATAAATTACCAACAGTGCTGAAGGATATAAAGAGGAACAAAGAAAATAAACAACTTGAAATAGCACATACTAGTATAAAAATGTTGGAAATTCTAATATATTTATTCTATATATGTGTTCAAATATAGTTTGTTATTCTTAGTATATAAGTTTCTTTTATGTATCCAATCTACAGAAAATACGAGTAATTTATTTAATTCTTTAGACAATTTCAAATGTACGAGGTGTGTACAAAAAATAAGGAGAATTTGTATTTTTATGAAAAAATATTTATTTATTCATCAATATTTATGTTGTTCCCTTCAAAATAATCTCCCTCAAATATAATACACTTGTGCCAAAGTTTTTTCCAATCCTCGAAGCACTTTAGTAAGCATTTTCTGGTATAGCCTTAAGTTCTTCTAGCAATTTTTTCTTTATCTCCTCGATTGTTCCAAACCTCTGTCCTTTCATGGATTTCTTGAGTTTTGGGAAAATGTCAAAGTCGCAGGGGGCCATATCCGGTTAATATAGTGCCTGAGGTATGATGGTGGTTTTGTTTTTGGTTCAAATTTTCGACACAAGCAACGATGAGTGAACAGGTGCATTATCGTGATGTAAAATCCATGAATTGTTTTCCCATAATTCCGGACGTTTTTTTCGTATTGCTTCTCGCAAACGACGCATAACTTCAAGGTAATACTCTTTATTGACCGTACAACCTTGTGGTAAGAACTCTTGATGTACTACGCTATGATAATCAAAGAAAATAGTGAGCAAAACCTTGACATTTGATCAAACTTAACGTGCTTTTTCGGTCTTAGCTCATCTGGAGTCTTTCATTGTGACGATTGAGCTTTAGTTTCGATGTCATAACCATAAACCCACGATTCGTCGCCAGTAATGACTCTTTTAAGCATATTAGGATCATGATTGACGAGGTCTAACAGCTCTTGAGCGATGCTCTTTCGACGGTTCTTTTGTTCAAAATTAAGCAGTTTCGGAATAAATTTTGCTGCTATACGTTTCATGCCCAAAACTTCGGAAAAAATTGCATGGCACGAGCCAACAGAGTTACCGACGTCTTCAGCCACTTCTCTCATAATGATTCGATGATTAATTAACACCATTTGTTTAACTTCTTCAAGAATTTCATCAGTTATTGCAGTGCTGGGGCGTCCTGAGCGAGGTTCGTCATCGGTGTCTTGTCGGCCATCTTGAAAGAGCTTATACCACTTGTAAATATTTTTTTGACTTAAAGTAGACTCATCGTATGCTACTATCAGTTAGTGTATGTGTGTCGTTCACACTTTTCCGCTTTGAGGGTGGCGCAGCGTAATCAAACATTACCACCTCTCTCTCTCTGGGCGCCAATAGGTTGGTATAGCCCACTGTCTTTCACTCCTTCGCTTTCAA